TTTATAGGGATATCTTCTTTGTATAGAATTCCACTCAAAGTGTTTCCTTTTATTAGTTAGCTTTAGCTGAAAAATATTTTTATTACTTTTTTGCACTTTTCCAGGTGCTAGTATGGAATAACAATGGCTGAAGAAATCCACACCAACCGGTCATTTTTAAGCAAATGTAAATAATTATTTCGTTATATGAAAGCCGACATTATCTACTTTACTTTAATATTAAAAATTATTTGTGTTCTCTTCGAAAAGTTTTGCAGTACATAATTTACTAAAACAGAGTCTGGAAGTATCTGAATTCCACTATTATAGATCCAAACATTTTTTCAAATATTAACAAGAGGTTCCAATCGTATGAAATAGAAATTGAAACGTTTCTCTATCAGACAAAAAAACAACCTTGAAGTTTGGTCGAGAAATGGTGAAGATATTTAATTTTCTTTTTGGTCAATGAATTTCCAGACACCCGGTAGATAATCTAATAAAAGTGACATCTGTACCTAGGAGATATCGGAGTTTCATTAAAGTTTTCCATTAAACGAACTTCCATTAAAAAGAAGTTCATTAAAGTTTTAACGAAAGTTCCTGAGTGTTTGGTGAATCTGGATTTTTATTAAAATTTTTAATAAAATTTTGTGCCATCAAAAAATTTTCATGAAATTCTTGTGTTGTCAAAGGTTTTAATGAAACTGTCACAGTCACCTTGCAGGAGTCATTTTAATGAAAGTTAGGTGAACAGAATATAAGTTAAATATCCGAAAACAGGTATGTTTAAACGGGAAAAAATGATGTATCTATCGCGTAGCGATACATGTAAGAAGTGAAACAGGTATCTCTTGCTAAGCGATACCTTGTTTCTTTGAGTTTTGACATAAACATAAAATCATTCTTTTCTATGTGGTTCGAGAAATAGTTGGTATTGCTTAGCGAAACGTTCATTTTTATTTTGTGAAAATTATTAGTTTTCCAACCATTTCTTCATCTATTGCTTAGCGAAATATAAATTGCCTGTGTGTTCAGTGCCCCTAGTTTTTCATTGAAATTTTTAATGAAGTTCTTCTGCCGACGAAAAATTGTAATGAAATTTTTATGCCACCAAAAAATTTTTAATGAAACTCTTGTGCCATCAAAATCATTTTAATGGAACTCCTATTAAAAGTTTTTTAATGAAAGTTCCGGTAGTTTCACTAAAAACAGTTTTAATGAAAGTTTCGGTACTTTCATTAAAAGAAAACGCTTTAATGAAAGTTTTTTAATGAAAGTCATCCAACCCGTACCTAGATATTTCATAGTAGAATTGTTCAATATCACAACAAAATATCTAGATATTTTACAAGGTTTTTTACTTGGACATGTTGTAAATCTAATATCCAGAATTGAGTAAGATATTGGATTATTTAGATATATCGACTACTTTATTGAGCTAACTAGCTTAGATTATCCAATACTCAATACTGTCGTTTTACTTGTATATATGCGTATCGGGTATTGGATTGGGTTATCTCGACAAAATTACCCAATATTCGACACTTTTTATTGGCTTGAGATGTTCCTTAAAGAGAAGGAAAAGTCATAACAGTGGAAAATAAACACAACGAATATGTATCGATTATAACGAATCTTCTGCTATGTTAATAACGAATTTGAATTTGATCTCTATTGGAAAAGTAGTCTATGGAGATTCTTTACGACGATCTCATGACAATAATTCAAGAATCGTAATAATAACAGAATTTATTATTTTTAAGAAAACAGTTAGAGATGAAGAGAAATATTTAAACGTGATTGAAGTTAGAAATATAAATCTAGCTTACATATAATGTGGTCGACTATGACAAACAACAGATTCTTCAAATCATTCTTTCGAATAAGTGTTGTATGATATAGTTTGAAGAAAAAATAAAAAAAATTAAAAGGGAACAAATTAAATGCTCAGTATTTTAATGTAAACGCTCAGTATTAGATACAAAATTATCAGTAAAGAAATCAAACTGTTTGGTAACTATCATACCTGTAAATTAATAAATTGTGTGTGTGGGATGGAGTGGAGAGTGTGGAGTTTGGCAGTAGCTGTGGGCTCGAGTGCAGGGTGAGGGCGAGCGTGAACCGTGGAAAAACATTTAATCTTAACAATGAAATAGTGAAAATTTCTCAAAATATATTTAAAATTTTCATATCTGTCTGTTTAAATTAAAACTATAAAATTCGCACTTTTTCAAATTTTATTTTTACCAGAATATGGAAGAAGTTCGTTTATTAAATTGTTATTCATCTAAAAAAAGAATGGTATTTGACTAGTTCTTGAGAAAAAAATTAGGGGTGTAGGCTGTTTCCACCTAACATCTAAAAATTCAGTATTCACTCGGAAAACATCTGAACAGGTTCAACTTCAGGAGGTGGTTAAATTTGTCTGGTAAACGTGATCACGAGATCGGAACAGCATATTTTTGTTCATAGGTTTTTCCAGAAATCCTTTCTGAAACTATCGGGTTTTGCAGAATTTTCTTCAAGTCCTATAAACGGAATATAGAACAACTGAAACACTCTACTTGCTCAAATTCTGAAATCGTTCTAATGTTTGTTGAGTGAATTGTGAATTTTTTAATATTAGGTGAAAACAGCCTCAAAACCCTACTTTAGTAAAATGTCGGTTGTCGGGTGATTATTAAAAAAAAATTTAAAATAGTAGTTATTGAGGATTTTGTACACAGAGTTGCTTGCGTTCCAACTTTATGTGAAATCAGGAAAGTGTAACACCTATCCTGGCTGCGGGCGCGAGAGCATTGTCTGTATTTTAGAAATTTTTTAGACCTCTGGGATTCTTCGGGTGCTCTCGAAAAACCTAGTATAGATTGAAGGTACTTTACGACGTTGACGGATCACGTCAGAGAAATAATCATAACGCATGGTAGACAGTCTCTAGCGAACACCGATCGAAGGGAGGTGTAAGTGTTGTTTCGACGAACAAGGCCAAACTTTGCCCCCACTTAGGTTTATTTATCAAGGGTAAGAAGACTAATAGATTTGGTAATATTACGTCCATTTTGAACATCTGTACGACAGATGAAACTATATCAAATTACAGAGTCTCGATGACCTATAGCAATTCTAATAAACGTTTCTCACCGGTGAAAACCTAAAGCAAGGTTCTGTGAACTAAAATGGAAAATATGGACGTTCTCATCGCGAAAAATATGCATCAATTCTGTAGTAGCAAGATCGAGTTACAAGACAATGAATAATAATTCCAAGAGTATGCTTAGTGGACTTACAGGCAATGGAGCTAGTGAATCGATGCGATTCACGTTATTTATTTTAGATGTCCATAGACTTACATTCAGTTGGAATTAAAGCAGATGTTCATATTTGTTTTGTAAATCACGAAAGAGGAAATAAACAAGAGATTTATCACTTTTTTTGACAATTTATATTAATCACTGATAAGCCATCTGTTGACCTGTCAGAAGTTTTAATTAAGCTGAAGGCAGTTTTTTACGAGTCTTATAAAACTTCAAAACATTTTCTAACAATTCTCTGACGTTTATCCGAAGAGATAGTCAGCGCAAAATAACACGATATTAATTATATCTACTGTCGGCCAAGTCATAATTTTAATATAATTGCTTATATACTAATGTCAATCTTTGGATATTAATAAAACTGCATCTGTTCAGCTGCTATGCGCATGAATTTATTCATGAGCTCACAATTTAAAACTTTATTTCTTCTGAATAATAACAACAACATGTTATTCGTAATGTTCTTTTTAATTCATCTCTATCCCGTAAACAGTCTTTATTGTAAATTACCTTGTGAATATGAATTAGATATTAATGGAACAACATTTAACGATAAAATAAACTGCCATGATTTAACAGACCAGTATTCACAGTGTATTGTCCAAATAATTTTTAAGTATGGATTAGTACAGGTAATTAATGCTTTTTATTTTTTGAATGGACGTCACATGTTGATTTGTGAAGTATTCGAGACTTTGGCTAACATTTTTCTGTATCTTCAGACTACCATCTGTTTCAATGAACCGTGCAGTCGAATATTTTTGAACAACTTTTAACGACAAACGCTAGCGACCTGCGGGTTTCACCATTCGAAAGAGAACACCTGGGGCAACAAAACTACATGGAAACAAAATTTTTCCAAAGTGATTTTCCAGCTAGTTTTAGCGAGCGAAAATTGGAAAATTTAGCATATTTTTCCAGAACACAAATTTTTTCTTGTTTTCGTCAGTTTTGTAGAGTTTGAAGTCCCTTTCAAATGGTACCTAAGCAATCCCAAAAATTTTGCTTCCTCTCCGAGATATAAGAGTTTCAAAAACGGCCTCTTTTGCGAGTCTTCGACTTTTTCGGTCCAAAAAACATGGAGGCATAGGTAATCGAGTGCGGTGATAGTGATCATCGTGGTGACGTTAATTTTCTGTTTAAAGGCGAAAAAAACAAGGAAACCACATTTTTCAAAAACATGCATTTTCGGCCTTGACGTTCGGAAAATGCATGTTTTTGGAAAATGTCGTTTAATGAACACTTGTTGCCCCAAGTGTTCTCTTTCGAATGGTGAAACCCGCAGGTCGCTAGCTTTTGTCGTTAAACGTTATTCAAAAAATATTCGACTGCACGGTTCATTGAAGCAGATAATACTGTATAGTCTCATATTGCACTTCATCTCGATCAAACAATGTTCGCTAGGTCTTTTTGAAATATTGATGCTTCTGCATAAAAGTGGTGTTTTTACTTGTCTGTTAGACTTTGTGTAAAATTAAGAACATCTGCTCACCTCTCATGTCTGTCAATTTCTCAGCTATTGATCGATCGTGCTATTAAACAGGTATAAATAATTATTTTTCGGGTTTCAGCTAAAAACAAGACAAGGGTAACGCTGATATTCAAAAATAATCTTTTATAGCTCCTTCAGAACGAGTCCAATTGTCAGAAAACTAGGTAACTAGATGTGTGCTACAAAATTTCTATCTCAGGAACTGACTTTAGAAGAAAAATATTAGCTTTCAGAGACTAATTTTCCACATATAGTCACCAAAGACTTATGGATTTCTCCGACTGTGGTGTTTGAAATCACGGTCACATATGGTTTCATATCTTTTATGCAAAAAGTTTTTGATCACTTCGTGATAGATTTTCTCGTTAAACTACTGGCAAGACTGAGAAGAAAAAAATCGTATTGATCGTATAAAAATCAGGCAAAAACGAAGTTAATGTTGTTGAGGTCATTAATAATAGCCTAGGTTGTGCTTTGACAGTTGCTTATCAGTATCTTGTGATTTCTATCGACTTCCAATTGAGGGATTGAGTGAAGTCGAAAAGTGAACATCGCTTGCTTCTTTTGCTTTTCAGGGACTAACGCCGATCCCACCATCAATAAAAATTCAATATATTTCTAATACTAAAACACCAAATGAACCATCAAACATAAACATATATCATCAATTACAAACTCATGTGGAATTTACAGATACTGATGATAATAATGCAATGTTGACTACTATTACGATAAACTTTGCATGCAAAGATGGCGATAAATGTGATGAAAACTATGTTAAATCGATGTTACCAATTTCATTAAATAATGAAAAAACATATAAATCGTTTAAAGTAAATATAAGTCGAACGATTTTTTTGGCAGAGAATTATTTTGAAAATGATAATATACGATGTTATACTTTTTCATCAAAGAGACCATCGCAATCTGAAATGTCAAATTTAAGTCGTGTAGTTTTTAATAATAATCAGCCACCAGAAACCATAATTGCAAACCCATCAGAAACTACGACTGTAAAACCATCAGAAACTACAACTACAGACCCATCAGAAACTACAACTGCAGACCCATCAGAAACTACAACTGCAAACCCATCAGAAACTTCAACTGCAAACCCATCAGAAACTTCAACTGCAAACCCATCAGAAACTACAACTGCAAACCCATCAGAAACTACAACTGCAGACCCATCAGAAACTACAACTGCAGACCCATCAGAAACTACAACTGCAGACCCATCAGAAACTTCAACTGTAAAACCATCAGAAACTACGACTGCAAACCCATCAGAAACTACAACTGCAAACCCATCAGAAACTTCAACTGCAAAACCATCAGAAACTACAACTGCAAACCCATTAGAAACTACAACTGTAAAACCATCAGAAACTATGACTGCAAACCCATCAGAAACTTCAACTGCAAAACCATCAGAAACTACAACTGCAAACCCATTAGAAACTACACCTGTAAAACCATCAGAAACTACGACTGCAAACCCATCAGAAACTTCAACTGCAAAACCGTCAGAAACTACAACTGTAAAACCATCAGAAACTACCGCTACAGAATCCTCAATAAATACAACTGCAGAAACGACGACGAACTATGTCGTAACGTCAGCCAAGTAAGTATTGCTTTTATACACATCATGTCATACGGTCCGTAGGCTTTTGTGATATTTTTATGACCCCCATCTAAAAACAAGTGGTAGTTTCGAAGCCTACTGTAATGCCCACCCCAAATAATTGTGGTAGATGTACCAACGGGCACACTGCGTTCCACTTTAATTGATAGGAAAGTCTTAAGATGCATGTGGCGGAGCTTAAGGTGCATAGCACTCGAAAACTCGCCAGCAAAATTTGCAATAGTTCTCCAGCGTTACACATATTCCCTACTTTTCCTTGTTTCCTGCGTTGTCAGCCTGTCTCATCAAGCAGAAGCTAACTAAAATGAAACGAGGAATACGTGTCCGAATCAACTTGTACATCTACCGCAACTATTTCAGGTATATGAGAGCGTAAGATAAATAGGTGTTAAAGTGGGATCGAAGTAAGTCTGAGATCCGCTTTCATTTTCTTTGTTTAGAGACTAACTTGTACGTATATTGTAGTACGTATGAATATGAGTAAAGGGCAACGATTTCAAAATCCAATCAGATGTGTTAACTGCAGCTATTTCCGACTTCATCTTTTTTTCTTTTCTAATTATAATTTTCTGTGGAATTTTCGACCAGTAACGGTCAATATCAACACAACAATCTAGAGAATTACACTGAAGAAGTAAAAAATAAACTTATTTTATTCGTCATTTTCATTTTCATGACTCATTAACTCTGTACTTGATAGGAAAGAATTATCCATTCAATTTTGTTTTCCATTCCTCTACCCTTTAATGTACACTTAAGATCTTATTGCATTAAAAACTTGACCTTATTCTCCAAAGGGTTCTATTTAGTAGATTATTTTGGTGGTATTAATCTCCCATCCTCGATCTTCTTGTTAAAACTGTCCTTTCCAATTCATCATAAACTTGACTATATATGCTAAGAGAATAGCAGTAGCAGTTAGGAAAGTTTATCCACAAAAAGATGTTCGTATTATTTACGATGTGACGAAGAGAATTAGTGATGGTTTAAGTATAGAGGATAGAATACCGGATGATTTGAAGTCACGTCTAGTATATGAAACGACTTCTTCTCAATGTGGAGAGTCTTACATAGGAAAGACTTGCCGACACTTCACTAGAGCAGATGAACATCTGGATTATCAAGAAAAGATCACCGGTACTCAAATTAATACAAAAACAAATCAATTAAAATCTAAGACAATATCGATACAAATTCAGCCACCTTCCTCGTCGGATAGGATCTGTAACGAGATCTCAAACCAATAACCTGCCTTCTTCTACTAAAAAAGTTGAAGATGAAGAATTTGAGCGACTTTTAATGGAGAATATGAGAAAGAGTCAAGAAACAAAGTCTCCAGTAGCAACATCAGCCATAGCTAAGCACTTTCAAAATACAGGACATATGATAACAAAGAATGATTTTAGAATTTTACTGTCCGAACAACATAGATATCGACTACTAGTAAAAGAATCATTATTGATTAGAGCTAATACACCAACGCTCAATGATACCGATAGATCAGTCCCTTTATATGTTTTCCCTGATGAATTGGAAAGAAGGTTTTTAACAAGAATGGTCGAGGACGGGAGATTAATACCACCAAAATAATCTACTAAATAGAACCCTTTGGAGAATAAGGTCAAGTTTTTAATGCAATAAGATCTTAAGTGTACATTAAAGGGTAGAGAAATGAAAAACAAAATCGAATGGATAATTCTTTCCCATTAAGTACAGAGTTAATGAATCATGAAAATGAAAATGAAGAATAAAATAAGTTTATGTTTTACTTCTTCAGTGTAATTCTCTAGATTGTTGTGTTGATAATGACCGTTACTGGTCGAAAATTCCACAGAAAATTATAATTAGAAAAGAAAAAAAGATGAAGTCGAAAATAGCTGCAGTTAATACATCTGATAGTACGCAGGAAGGTGAGATTGGCACACTAGCACGAAAGATACAATGATTACTATCGGCCTAATTCGAGTAGTAGTGTGCGTTTCACCTAAATTCTGTAAAGTCATGTTCTAAGCGAGAAACGTGCATTGTAACAAGAAAGCTACTAGCCATTATACGCAGAAAAATACAGAGGTCAGAATTCATATAATTCCGACAAAAAAACCTCATACATGAGAAGGTCAAAGGATCGCGAGATCTACACAGATCTCAGGAGAATACAACACCAACATCTAAGGAATGGACAAAAGGTAGAGTATTTTTGATAAATTCTACTACACACACAAACTGTAGGTAAGATATAACCAGAACGTAAGGATGCAAACGAAGCTAGAAGAGTAACAAGAAAATTGGAGCAAGCAGAATGATATCCACGAGAAAGGCAGGATAGCAAGTGAAAGCTGGAATATGCGATGACGGGAAACTTTCAGGAATCAGAGGCACAGTTTGTGATTCTATACAGTACGCGGACATGAGTACAAAGTATGTTTAGATAGTTTGAAAATAACTTTTCGCTCGATCAAATGGGTGACCTAGTATTTTTTTCTAGAAGAACGTTTTTGATTTTAGGCCAGAGGGGATCAGATCTCAGACGAAAATGTTTTGATACTAGGTTTTTATCTAAAATAATGTGGATTTATACACTGCTCGATGTAGCTTGACAAACTGATTTTGAGCTATGAGAAAAATGGATTTTAGCTCAGAAGTAAGGTTTTTGAGAAACCTGTAGCGCAGTCTAGAAAAAGCTGCATATTTTTACTTCAGAATTTGTTCGGCGCGCAGAGGCAAGCAGTATATTTTTAGATCAAATTACGAGATAAGAAATGAGAAATTGCTTTTTCTAATCATAGCTCGTCGAGTAATCACTTAGTTTGGAAAACAATTTTTTTTTCCTCCACAGCAGAGATCACAACCCAAAAACTCTTATTACTAATTGATTGCTGAGAAGATCCAAATTCCGAATGTGTATCATTTTTGTTTGTAAGTTTGTTTGATTTAATAAGAAAAGGAACTTATTTTGAAACAGAGGTGGTTTCAGGCTATATTTTGGCTTAGTATTTTCCGACAATTAGAAACATTTATAACAAAAAGTTTTATGTCATTCTTTGATGTATTCGAAGCACTATTAAGATCTAAAAAAATTCCACTTTCGATTTTTAGCCAAATGTTCGTGTGCATGCACACTGTGATAGGCCAATATGATTCGACTATTAGCTGTTAGATGTGAATCCAAGCTATAAAATGACACCATAGTCTCAGGCAAGATAGTTGAAAGCTCTGGATAAAAAGTAAACTTTACATCTTTGATAAAGTTAAAAATGGACATTTTTGACACTTATTTACTTATTTCTGGTGAATCGAAGGAGATATAAGCACTGCATTCTTTTGGTAGAATGTACTCTTATTGGAAAGTAAATAAAATAACTTTGAAAAGTAATTTGCAAGGAGATATCAGCTTATTAACTTGCCCATGACAACGGTACAATGCCAGCACAATTCACCCTTATATCTTTAGATATTTGAACTTTCCCGCTAATTTTCTGAATTTTTCGTGTGATTTCTTAAGTTTCTCGTGAATATTCACATGTTTCTACTTCAACTGAGTCTTTCTTTCCGTTTTTGGATGGGATTGTGATTCTTGAGTTTCTTGCAATGGTACCAGTTTCTTGTGCAGAAAATGGCTTCCAGGAATTCATGAAGCCTAGGTAACCCTCAATTTGACGGCCACGTCTTGGATAAAGGATTCTCAGATTCGAATCGCAGTTTTAATTGTTGGTAGAGCGACGACAGCGTACAATCAGTTTATCAACTTAAGAGTGACAAAGTTACTCGATTCGTCTCCAATTACAAGGTTTTTCTATGATATAAGCTTTGTTCTGTCAGAATACAAACGGAAAAATATTTCATTATAGTATTCTAAACTAAAACTATTGAAAAACACAAAATCAATTTTGTACGAATAGAGATTCGAATACATGAACTTAGCTTTGCAGAAACTGCAAAACTAAATTCACTGTTCTGTGTCTATATTCTGTACAACCATTGAAGTTGTGCAATTGACTCGATGTTATCAGGTTTTTCTATACTTTAGATATAACACAACAATGGCTGATATGACTTCAAGCACATTTAAAAACAACGGCCATAAGTTAAAAATTAATTTTGTTACTTTTATTCTGGTAAAATTCATTATTTTAAGAAGTCTTCAACAACAACAACAGTGACGTGTGATGAGAAGTACTTTGATAATGAGTCGGTGGCTCGAAACGTTAAATAAATTTTAAACAAATAATTTAAAACTGTTTATTTACTTTAAACTGTAAAATAAATATTATGAGCTTACACAAAGTCCTACCATTACATATCCTTAACTGATTCATTAACTAAATTTTGTGATGAAATAACAGATTAAATATGTATTTTGAATCGCACCATCGCTTTTCTGAGACGGTAAAAAAATTCGAAAAATATGATCGAATTTGTAGTGCTTTATTGTTCGATGAAATTTAACTGCAGTTTATGTATTTGAAAGATAAATTTTCTGCAAGTCATCAGTTACATAACCAAATTTGTTATATAAGTATAACGCTTATTTTTCTCCATCTTAAATAATTGATAGAATAATTGTTTTTATAGAGAAAAACTTACTTTGCACATTTTTTTCTCTTTAATCGGCAGGTACTAAGACCATCAAAAGATATTCCTTACGTCCTCATGTGACATTTGCCTATTTTTCTTCGTGTGATAAAATGGTTTAAAAGAGGTTTTGAATTTCTCGAACAGAATGTGTTCCACTTTCAGTGTCTATGACAGACATTTAGCTTCATTCAATATACTATTCGAGTCTATATCGAAGAATTCCAAGCAATATTATTTGCTAAAAAATTTGTAAAAACATATTTCAATAAATTACAACCGTTATGCAAACTTAAAGTTTGTATAAGAAATACATAAATCGGACTTTCTTCTTTCCGAAAAACAGAAGAGAAGCGCAGAAAACAGAACAATATTCACCTATATCTGTCTACGCGTGCAAAAATATATGCG